GGGGGCTGTGGGGCCGGTTTGGGGCCTCGGGGGGGCCCGGGGGGGGAGCCGGGGATGGGGGTTGTGCCCCACACGCAGGAAGGCAGGGTGTGCCGGAGGGCCCCTCACCCTGCGCTTCTCTTCCTTCAGCTCCGTGGCATCACATCGAGAACTTGGACCTCTTCTTCTCTCGCATATCCTTTCGCAGGGCACAGCTCAGGCGGGATGCGCCCCACCGCCTCTTGGGCTCTCGGCGCTGGTGGAAACACCGGGTTTGGGGTAACTCGGAGCTGGGGCGGCGTCTGCCCCTTCCCGGAGGACGCCACAAGGCTCCAGAGGGGCTGGGGGATGGCAGAACCCCCGTGCCTGTGGAGTGCTGTCACCCGACACTGAGGGGACAGACAGATTCTTTTAGGGATCCTTGGCAGAGTGATGGCATCATTGAGTTGTATTTACAATTAAAGCTTTATTTCCTTAACAGGATTTTATGTTTAGTAGCGTAATACAAAATTTTATAGCGCCGCTTAGCTTATGGTTTCTAATCACCTGGACTTTTTGCAGATCGGGTCAGATCTTAATACATGGTTTGCTCTGTCAGTATAACAATCATAATCTAGACTCGAAAATCATATAAAAGCATACGAGTCTCTCACTCAGTCCTCGGAGGAAGCAGATGACGGTGGAGGCCTCCCTGGCCACTAGGGAGTCCCGGGTCTCACTGTCCAGCAGCAGCTCCAGTCCAAATTCCCACTTAGGACTTGTAACTCCTTGATTTTGTGGACAGTGTTCTGTGTGCTGTTACACTTCCCTGTTCTGTGATGGGGTCATCACAGCCACCAGGTTGGCTGGGTGCCTGGGACCTTCAAGGCCGGCAAGGAAGGGAGTAATCGGCCTGGCGCCCAGGAATCTTGAGGCCGGTAGGGAGGGGAAAAAGAAATCTGTTTGGTTTGTCTACTTTGTTCACAGGACCTTCAGGGCCTGATAACGAGGGAAAAGTAACTAATAGGTTTCCTGCTTGGTCACAGAGAATAGCTGCTTGTCTTATAAAATGGTGTTAGTTATGCTAACCACATTACCAGGGGTTGGGAGCAGGGGGTACCGCTCACATGTGCTGGGGGTATTAAATGCATTTTTGCCTGTCTCTGTGTTGTCCTGCCCTGCCCTGCCCACCCTTGTGCGGCCTGAGGGCACGCTGAGTTTCTGCTCTGTGCTGGGACAGACCCTCCTCTGGGCATTGGGTGGGGGAAAAAAGGAGCTTGGATGGAGCCAAGTCCTCTTATCCCAGCTGTGGTTTACCTGGGCAGAGTGGTTCTCCCTGCAGTGGAGAACCAGCTTGTTGATGAGTAGGGATGTGAGGGGGTTTCCATTGGTGGTGGAGGGAGACTTGGCTGGGGAGCTGCAGACGCCAGTGAGACAGAAGCCTCTCCATCCTTCGTCAGAGGAAAGCAGTCTCCAGACTATTCTCCTTGACTGTAGCTTTCACGTCTATAACCTGCATCAGAAGAATGGCTTCACCTGCATGCTCATTGGAGAGATCTTTGAGCTCATGTAAGTGCAGGTTCCCCCTCTGTTGTGGCTGGGGGGGGGGGCGGGTGGGGGGACACCAGCCACAGTAATCTGCCAAGCTCCTGCAGCTGGGTGGGTGGGAGGGTTCCCTTTACAGTTGTCCTGTCTCCCCTTCGTTAGGGTTTTCCATGCCCCAGACCTGCATTCCACTTGGAGGAACTGGTGCCCTTGAGCTCTCCTGCTGCCATGGCTGTGGGAATGCATCCCCATGACGCATGACCCTGCCTGCTTCACATTTTGGGGGGCAGAAGGGCGATTCCCTCACGCCTGCTCCCTCTTTTCACAGGCAGTTCATCTTTGTGGTGGCGTTCACCACCTTTCTTATCAGCTGTGTTGATTACGACATCCTTTTTGCCAACAAAGCGGTAAATCACAGCCAGCATCCCAGTGAGCCCATTAAGGTGACTCTGCCAGATGCCTTCCTGCCTCCAAATGTCTGCAGTTCAAGGTAGGGGCAGCGGAGGGCATGTTAGCCACTGCTCTTGCTTTCTCGGGTACTCAGGGTGCCTGCCCGGGGCCTGTCTCCCACTACTTGCCTCTTCTTGCTTGCAGAATCCAGGCAAACAGCTTCCTCATCTGCATCCTGGTGATAGCTGGGGTTTTCTGGATCCACCGACTCGTCAAATTTATCTACAACATTTGCTGCTACTGGGAGATTCACTCTTTCTACATCAATGCCCTCAAAATCCCCATGGTAAGTAGCTGGGCCAAGGGTCACATGCGGGACCACGAAGGGATGTGGGAGGCATTGGCTGAGTGGTGAGAAGCAGCTCGCCTTCGCTCCTCTCTGGAGCCAGCTTCTCCAGGAGACCTGTACCGAGCGCTCTTCCCTCTGCTCCATAACCGCATGGGTCTCCTTTCAGCCTCTTCTCCAGCAGCCAACTTTCTGTGCGTTAACCCCTCTCTGCCCAGCCTGCCTCTCTGCCTGCTGGCACACACCTCTGCCATCTGCCACCCAATATGTTCATCCTTCAGTGATGGCCTTTTCTGTGATACCTTTCAACAGAGGAGGCATAAGTGAGGATATCCTCGCACCTCCCTGGGTTGTGGACAATGTCATCTTCCTTGTTTACTGGGGGGGAAACTGAGTCATGGAGCTGCCTAGTTGTTGAAGGCCACACTGGAGGTCGGTGTGTCAAAGATGGGGTTTGAGGCTTGCACATATATCCTAGTCCAGAGTCCTTGCTCTGATGGACGACATCAAAAGGTGTGTGCGCATCCTTTGAGGAGAGACCATGTCTTGAGAAAGGTGGGGTGAGCCAAGGGGCTTGGTTTGTCCCCAGCTTTTCTACAGGCTCCCTCTGGGACACTGCTTAAGTCCCTTCCCCTGTTCGTGTCTCCCTGCTGACTCCAAATGGCAGCTCTGGGAGGACCCATGGGAGCCTGGAGCTGTGTTCGTGCCTCCAAGGCAGCTGGCGTGTGAGTGGCTGGGAAACAGTCATCTGCACTAATCTAGGGGTAAAGGGCACCGGGGCAAGGTATGGGGTTTGCTCGCTGCAGGCTGAAGTGGTGCAGGGAAGTGCCTCATGTCCTGGTGTTGCATGTGCCTCGTCAGCACCCTGAGGCGTGCGCCGGGACCTGCTGTTTGAGTGGGCTCAGCCCAGCCTCTGTCCCTGGACGCATCCTGCCCCTAACCTTGCGGCTTGCCCCCTTCCAGTCCACCCTGCCGTACTACACCTGGCAGGAGGTGCAGGCCCGCATCGTGCAGATCCAGAAGGAGCACCAGATCTGCATCCACAAGAAGGAGCTGACGGAGCTGGACATCTACCACCGCATCCTCCGCTTCAAGAACTACATGGTGGCCATGGTGAACAAGTCGCTGCTGCCCATCCGCTTCCGCCTGCCCCTGCTGGGAGACACTGTCTTCTACACGCGTGGGCTCAAGTACAACTTTGAGCTCATCTTCTTCTGGGGGCCCGGCTCACTCTTTGAGAACGAGTGGAGCCTGAAGGCTGAGTACAAGCGGGCCGGGAACCGCCTTGAGCTGGCTGAGAAGCTCAGCACTCGTATCCTCTGGATTGGCATTGCTAACTTCCTCCTCTGCCCCCTCATCCTCATCTGGCAGATCCTCTACGCCTTCTTCAGCTACACGGAAATCCTGAAGCGGGAGCCGGGCAGCCTGGGTGCTCGCTGCTGGTCTCTCTACGGCCGCTGTTACCTCCGTCACTTCAACGAGCTGGACCACGAACTGCACTCACGCCTCAGCAAGGGGTACAAGCCAGCTTCCAAGTACATGAACTGCTTTATCTCCCCACTCCTCACCATCGTGGCCAAGAACGTGGCCTTCTTTGCTGGCTCCATCCTGGCTGTGCTCATCGCTCTCACCATCTACGATGAGGACGTGCTGGCGGTCGAGCACGTCCTGACCACGGTCACCCTGCTCGGGGTGGGCATCACGGTGTGCAGGTGAGGTGGGTGTGTGCTGCCCCTGTGCTCCTGGCAGCGCTGTGAGGAGCAGTGGGGCTGACAACCATCCATGCAAACGTGCTCTTTGGTTGCAAGCGGACATGAATCTGCCTGAGTGAAGGGTACGGCTGGGGAGAGTCGGGGCAGGCGGGAGAAAGGGGGTAGTGGTGATCTTGGGTGCAGTGGTAGTATGATATGAGGGCTGGGCTGGCAGGAAGGTTTGGGTTGGGCGTGAAGGCTACAGGTGGAGCTGTGATACGGGCTGGTTACCCTGCCCTCCCAGAGTGAGATCTCCCAGGAACTGAGGTGCGATGCTGTGATGTTTCCCTGTCCTGTCCTACAGGTCTTTCATCCCTGACCAGCACCTGGTGTTTTGCCCAGAGCAGCTGCTGCGAGTCATCCTGGCGCACATCCACTACATGCCTGACCACTGGCAGGGCAATGCCCACCGCTATGAGACCAGGGACGAGTTTGCCCAGCTCTTCCAGTACAAAGCGGTGAGCTTGGCTGGCAAGAGGCTGGGGTGGGGACTCACCCCCATCCCTGCAGGAGGGAGAAGCTGCCAGAGAGCTGAGCAGCTCCTGGGCTGGCAGAGGAACAAGGCAGCTTTCTCAGAGACACCCTGCCCCAGAAGATGGGCTGGAGCTGGGGGCTGGCTTTGGGATTGTGGGTTTTTTGACATCCTCAAGCTTGTGCTAAGACCATCATGTCTGTGCTCAGGTCTTCATCCTGGAGGAGCTCCTGAGTCCCATCATTACTCCCCTGATCCTCATCATCTGCCTGCGGCCCAAGTCCTTGGATATTGTTGACTTCTTCCGCAACTTTACGGTGGAGGTGGTGGGCGTGGGCGACACCTGCTCCTTTGCCCAGATGGACGTGCGCCAGCATGGCCACCCGGCGGTAGGTCCCGTGGGTGGTGGGAGAGGAGCCTGGGATCCCCACCAGCAAGTCTGGTCCTTTAGACCCATGAGAGGCCGTAACTCACCACTCCTGGCAGCCCACAGCCCAGCCCAGCCACCTGCCTCTCTGCTGAGTGTCTGGGGCTGCCCACACAGGTCACCAGCCCCAGAAGGCTCCTCTGGGGCCCAGCTGTGATTATTAACCTGGTATTTTGTGAACCAGGCTTTGTCATTTCTTTATTTGATGTCCATGCCTGCCTTCACAACCAAGCGTCCTGTGTCCTCAGGAGAGAGGAATGGGGATATTTGGACATTTAGAAAGCATGACCACTGAGAATGGACTTCAAGAAGCTGGGCTGCTTGTGCCCACGAGAGGGGCGGCCTCGGGGAGATGGGAAGCATTTTCCATTATGTAAAATCTAGTGCGGAAGGAAAGGGGATCCGTCTATTTCCTGTGCCTGGGAATTTAGGTTACTTGTCAGGCAAGACTCCCTAGTGACAGGGCCATGAACTAGAGAGGGGGTGGACTCACTGTGACAGGAAGCTTTTGTCATTTGTTGGCTGTAGTCGTTCCTGCTGCGAGCTGGAGACTGCAAGACAAGGCTTTCAGCTCTGTGTTTTGTGACTAGTCCCCGTCTCTCTGGTTCCCTTGTGGCGATGCATGTTCTAGGGCAGAGGTGGAAGACGCTGTGCTTGCTGCTTCTTCCTCAGGCTGTGAGGGCTGAACTAGTGTGAGGCTTTTGGTGTAGCGCCTGCTACATGTGGAGCCGTGGCCCAGCTTATGCTGGGTGTTGCGTGCTTTGCCCAGACTGATTGCAGGATTCCCAGGCCTGGCAGGGGTGTAAAGCAGATCCTGTCCCTCATTACCTGTCTGTGCTCTGCAGTGGATGTCAGCAGGAAAGACGGAAGCCTCCATTTACCAGCAGGCTGAGGACGGCAAGACAGAGCTGTCCCTCATGCACTTCGCCATCACCAACCCCAAGTGGCAGCCACCTCGGGAGAGCACGGCCTTCATTGGCTTCCTGAAGGAGCGGGTGCACCGGGACAGCAGTGTGGCGCTGGCTCAGCAGGCTGTGCTCCCCGAAAACGCCCTCTTCAGCTCCATCCAGTCCCTGCAGTCGGAGTCGGAGGTGCCCAGGCCGGGGGGGATGCGGGGTGTTCTTGGGGTGCTTGCTGGGTGCTGGCAAACTCATTATCAGGTCACTGGGCAATTTTGTCCTTGCCTAGGCTGTATCTGGGGATGCAAATGTGATAGATCAGCACTAGTTGGGACTGCTGCTGGGTTTCTAGAGAAGGCAGCGGGCTGTCCTGGGGCCCCGTGAGGTGGGAGAGGGGCTGAGCAAGCTGGGGTGCCTCAGTTCTGTTGCTGGCGGGGATCAGGCCTCCAAGTCTGCACAGGACACTGATTCTCTCCCTTTCAACTCCGCAGCCTCACAGCCTGATTGCCAATGTGATAGCGGGCTCCTCAGCACTGGGCTTCCACATGGGCCGGGACGGACAGGCCTCCCGCCATCTCTCTGAAGTGGCCTCGGCCCTGCGTTCCTTCTCCCCGCTCCAG